CTTCCACGTGGATGTGAGTGGGGGACAGGCCAGGCATGGCATGGGGCTCCTGGAGGTGCCGGCGGCATGCTCACCAGGAAAAAGGTGGCCGGTGGGGCGGGGGATGTCCGTCCCCTGGGACTGGCTCCTGGGCAGATGCGTGAGCCCCAGGCTTGGGGCAGCCAGGGGCGCTAGAGCCCCTGCACTCACCATCTGTGCCTGTGTCCTGAGGCCACCTCATGGAGGACCTGGTGCCAGAGTGCCGTGGCCAGGAGAGGCTGCGGGAAGCCCAAAGCAGGAGTGTCTCCCGGGCGGTCTCCAAGGGTTACCCTGTCTGGCGCGGCACTTCCGGGTGGGTGCGCTGAGGCTGGACAGGCCAAGGCAGCGGGTCCCAGGTGGGGAGGCAAGTCTGGGCAGGCGTGGTCCCATGTGGGGTGTGGGCTGAAGCCCCTTAGGTCCCGCCCACCTGCACTGGCCTGTTTGCTGGGAGACCCCCTGGCCTCTGGCATGCAGACTCTAGGAGGCCAGCCTGATCGGTCCAGCCGTTCAGGCCTCCTGGCCAGCCCCTGCCATCTGTTTGCCCCAGGCCCAGGGACTGAGCAGCAAACAGCCTACAAGGCCAGCCCCTGCCCGCTGAGCTTCCCATTCTGGAACTTTCCCACCACTGGGGGTGCTGCAAGCTTCCTGCTAGCCATCCCAGCTTTGCTGCTACCCTGTTCCAACAGGCCAATTACTCCAGCCAGGCAGCCCTGCCCAGTGGCCTCAGTGCCCACCAATCCAGATGCTGGCGGCTTTCCTGGGACCCTGCGCCCTAAACAAGGCCCAGCTAGGAAACGGGGAGCAGGCTCATGACAGCACGCAGGTGATGGTGGCAGCTGGAGCCCTGTCGTCTGCAACATCTGCTGTGCACCCCCAGTCCCATGGCTCCACTGGGTGCTGACCAGGCAGACGCAGGCTCTGCCTGCAGTGCTGAAGCCGGGGGGCAGGGTTGGGCCACATAGGGGGTTTTGTGCCCAACAGTCAGAACTGGGGTTCCTGGGCCTCCTCCCCATAATGTGGGGCTGGGCCCAGGGTCCCCACCTGCACGTGGGAATGGGGGATGAGTGCCAGCCAGGCTGTCCCACTGACTGCTGGGCTGTCTGGAAGGGCAGGACTTGCCCGGCAAGGGACTAGCGCCTGGCTCTGTCCTGCCCTTCCTCAGCTGGGACCCTGGGCGGCTCTTGCTCCTGCTGAGCCCTGACACTGCTGTGGGCTGTGGGAACATCGGGAGCGTTGAGTGCCTGCTGATGCAGGGCTGCCTGGGCAGGGCCCAGCCCCCGGCACTGAGGACCAGGCTAGCTGGGGTGGCTGGCAGCCTTGGGGGGGTGCATGTGAGTGCACATGTGTGTCCTGAGCACCCTGAGCCATGTGACAGGTCTAGTGTGATTGGCCGCTGGGCTGGGTGCCCTCTGCCGGCTGCCGCTGGGTCTGCAGGCCCTCTGGACTCCCTAGGGGCCTGGGGGCCTGGACGCGCACGGTGCCTCTGACATGCAGGGGCTTGGTGGCCAGCCAGAGGCCCTCAGGCCTGGCGGCTCCAGCCCCAGGAGAACCGGCCGTCAGTACAAGAGGCTGGGCTCCACTGCAGGACAGAGCCACCCCGCCGGGCCTCATTTCCTCGCCTAGGCCTGGGATCACAGGCCACCAGCAGCATTCCCATCCTTCAGGTGGTGGACCTGCCCACAGGGGTGAGGTGGTTAAAGCTGGCTGGAGAGGCTGGGGAAGGGGATGGGCCCCTGCCCTTCTGGTAGCAGCCAGCCCCTGACCTTTATCCACCAGCTCCCTGAGCCTCCAGTTAGTATCTGGTCTGGCGACAGCCTCTGCTGGCTGGCAGCCAGGGCCCTGTGCTGTGCCAGCCTCCTCCCCAAGTGCCTTTGCCTCTGGAAGCTAAACCCTAGGCTGGGCCAGGGTGGTCCCAGCGCCACCGGGCTCCTGGAAGCCTCAGCTTTAGGCAGCGGTGGGGCCCGGAGGTCAGGTGGCAGCAGGGTTGGGTGGGGTCTGGTGGGATGCCTGGCTCCCAGGCTAGGGTCCCCGGACCAAGCATTGGCTGGCCCTTATGGACAGGAGGACCACAGAGCAGCAGGTGGTGCAGAGGGCTTCGGAATCAGTGTGGGTGTGGGCATGGGCACTAGAGACTGCTAGAGAGACCCAGGTGGCTCTGTTTGGGATCCTGGGCCCTGGGGGTGATTCAGGAGGAGCAGGGAGGGTGTGGAGATGGTGTGACCCTCCCAGACTGCCCCCCCCAGGCTCTCAGAGACCCTCATGCCCGTCACCCGTAGCTTGGCGCCATGGTAGCCTTGGTCCTGAGGCTCTTCCCACAGGAGCCCCTCTTTGGGGCACAGCCTGTTAAGCGAGGAATCAAGGTGTTTGGCCCTTGCGCCCACAGAGGGGTCTGCGCTCCCTGCCCTTGAGCAGCGCATGGAAGAGGAGAGAGCCGTGGGGGGGGGCTGCAGCGGTGACGTCCAGGGGGGAGGCCTCATAAGCCTGGCCGCCCCGCTGCAGAAGCAGGTGGGTGACTCCTGCAGTCCTGGGGGCAGGTGGGCTGGGAGGGCCTGCAGGGGGGCCGCGGTGATCTGAGGATGACTTCCACCTTTCAGAAGGTGGGGAGGAGCTGAGTTCCTGGCTGGGGAGAGCAGATGCATGCTGGGCGCCCCAGTTCTCAGCCGTGACCTCTGTGACCCTGAAAGGGGTCAGGCCTGACTCTGGGGAGGGGAGGGGAAGGGAGGGGTCGGGTCTGGCTTCAGAGTGTGGGTCAGGAGGGGCCGGGGACTGGAGGCGGTTCAAGGACACCCATGAGCTCAGCAGTCAGGTCATGTGCCTGTGTGGCTGTAGGGGAGCTGGGGTCCAGAGATGCTGGTCTGGGTGTCCCCTCAGCACTGAAAGTAGAGGCCGCTCCTAGGCAGTGTGAAGCCTGGAGGGGGAATGGCGTATCCCTGGAGGGGCCCCCACCCCCACCTCCACTCTGGGGCCAGTCCTTAGCCAGCACACCCCTCCCAGGGCTGCAGAGGGCCGCTGTGCCTCCCCTGAGGGCTTCTGCTCAAACTGGGACACTGTCCAGCTGACACCTCTTCGGGCAGGGCTGGCCGCACCTGGCCCGTTTCGTTCCTGGGTCCCTGGGCCCTGAGAGCAGCTGTCCCAGGCTGGTCCAATAAGTGGCCGGAGCAGCGGTCAGGGCTCTGCCGCCCTGTGGAGAGTGTTGCGATGGGGCGGAGGCGGGCAGGGGCCACAGGCTGAGACTGCATCTGATGTGTCTGGGGCCGCTGTCCTCTCATTCCAGGAAGCTCCTGCCAGGCCCCAGGGACTCCGGCCCACTATGGACAGGAGGGCAGGGGCAGCTGTGGGGTGTGTCTGTGAGGAGAGGGGCGCCTGGCGTGGGCTCAGCTCCCTGGCCATAAGGGTGTGGATGGAGAAGTTCTGGCTCTGCAGTCTGGAGGGGACGGGCAGACAGGTGGACACATGGCCGAGCAGCCTCTTCTGCAGGCTACACCAGAGTGTCCTCGCGCACCCCCACCTTGGCGTTGGCTTCTGGCTCTGGCTGGGTGTTGCCCTGGGACCCAGCCAGGGACAAGGTAAGGATGTGGGAGGGGAGGGTCTCTAGGCCTGTGGCCCCCCAGGGCAGAGGCCCCGCTGGCAGGACAAACCTCCCTCCTGCTTCTGACCCTCCCCAGTTCCAAGTTGTGTTTTCTGGTTGTTTTCAAGACAATTATTCCCCTCGTGTCAATGTATCACTTTGGGTCACTCCAAGGGCGCCTTTCCAATGCAGAATCTAGAACCATTCCCTCTTCCCCCCAGGGCTGTCCCCGGCTCGCCCCTGGCACCTTCCTGGTACACCTGCGGGCAGAGGGCCGCACTGCCCCAGCTTCTCTCCCCAGCACCCCGTGCAGCCTCCTGCTCTGTGCGCTGCCTTTGGGCCGCTGCAGGCTTGCAGCCGGGGACATTCTCATCCCACCGCTTCCTGCTGGGCGTTGCCAGTGTCATTTGGATTGTCCTGGGGGGAATGCAGCCAAGCACACCGTGGGGATGTCCTCGTCAGTTCACTCTGTGAAGGGCTGCAGGTTCAGGCCCAGCCAGGAGGCTGGCTCCTGGTCCTGGGAGCACCCGGAGGCTCCGGCCACTCGCACACTTGCTTCGGCTGCAGCCTGGGCGGCTGCCTGGCACACCCTGGGCGCCCCCTGAGTTGAGAGAGGGAAAAAGATCACATCCCGTGCCTCTTTCAGGCTGTGCCTCTTGGAGTGCTGCCGAGGTCTGGCTGCTCACCTCCTGGTTTCTGTTAGGCACGCCTCTCCTGCCCTGGTCGCAGGGCCACGCCACGCAGCTATCTGCCCTGTGGCTCTGACAGGATCACCCTGAAGTGGGACTGAGCCACTAAGTGACCCCACAGACAACTTGAGTTAAGAATTCAGCAAGATGGGCTGCCCCTCGCAAGGGCCCTGCAGGCTGGACAGACGCTGTGATCTCCCATCCCCAGGCCCAGGGAGAGCTGGGTGGACAGGGACCCGCACGTGCAGACCGCCCTTGCCTGAGGACAGCCCTGGTTAGCGGGGAGGTCGCTCTGGTGTGGGTACTTCCCACCACATGGCCTCTGGCTGCTGGCCCCCACCCTGCCAAGGTCCCCCCCAGCATGTGGACCCCCGAAGCAGCTCCGGATGCCAGAGGCACAGAGAGAGACAGTGGGGCCTTCATGAGCAGGAGCTGGGAGCCCCAGCTCACAAGGGGCTTTTCAAAATCCCCCAAACGAAGACATTCCTGCCTTTCAGCCTGACATCTGGAGACCCGGCTCAGCCGCCTCCTGCTCTGAGGCAGTCACCGTGTCTGCCCTGGGCGCCCTCACCCCTACCCTGCTCCCCACACCCCTAGCTCTCATTGGGGCAGCCACAAAAAGCCTGTCTCTGTCCCCATTTTCCAAAAATAGCCACCCCCACCACGGAGCTCCCGGAAGCTTCCCCAGGGGGTCAGGCTGTGCCAGACGGCTCAGGCCCCACTGACCCTCTGGTTCCCTGGAAGGCCCTGGCACCTGCCACGTGTGGCTGTGCGGACCTTGGGGTCCGCCATGCAGCTGGGGGTGCAGTCTGCTGCCTGGGCCTACGGGGATATCGGGGACAGCTGCTGTTGTGGCTCAGCACCCCCCATAGTCACCAGGGTGGTCATTGCTCCTCACCCCCAGATGCTGGCCTGAGCCTCACTCCCAAGGGCCAGATGGAGGCCTCTCTGGACCTACTTGGCGGCCCAGCACCTCGGACCTGGGGAGAGCCTGGTCCCCCAGCCTGGGCTGGGGCGTGCCCACTCACACGTGTCAGGTCAGGTCCCCGGCCCCACAGCACGTTGGGCTGGTCACGGGGCCAGTCCCGACGGCCCTGTCCTGTCTCCCCAGTGAGTGGCCGCATAAGGCTGGCTGTATTGCCTGAGGACGGGCTGCAGATGAAATGGAAGGGGTAGGAGGGGAACAGCCTCAGATACCTGGCACAGGTGACCCATGGCAGGTGAGGGCCTCTGCCTCCCACCCCAAGGGGCCAGCATGGAGGCCCTTTGTCCCCTTGCCGTACTCCGCCTTTCCTTTCTGCTGCCCCGCTCCTGGGGAACCCCTGGCAGAGGACAGGCCTCCCATGTTCCCACCACTGTACCCGGCATACACACCCAAGGCATGCTGTCGGTGACTATGAGCCCTTTCAGGCTCTGCATGCAGCCCCTTCCTCCAGCAGTGTCTGTCCATATCACCCCTGGTTCAGGGGAGGGAGGCCCGGAGGCTAGACGAGGCTCAGCCCAGCCACAGAACACTCCTGCATGGCCACGGCCACGGCTGCTAGTTTCAGACTTTTTGGACACCAAGGTTCAGTTTTATGCATGCGGAAAAGCCACAGAGAGGGTGTCATTGCAGGAATTGGCTCCACACCAAAGCAGCCAAGCTCACCTGCAGGGTCCCAGTCCCACGGGGAACCCCTTCTTGGCTTGGCTATAGTTTTCTAATACTTGAATAAGCCAAGTATACGGATGTCATTTTTCAAATCTTTTCTATTTGCATCGCTTTTGGGGTCTCCTTACCCTGCTAGTGACTGAGAAGAATATTTTTACTCCCCCGGTGGCTGTAGGTGTGTCTCTCTTGTCCTCTCCCAGCCTTTGTTGTCTATATTGAGGCTCGTGCAAGTTTAGAATCATCCTAGCTTCCCAGCGTATGGATCCTTGTTCACTGTGAGGTCTTCCTAGCCGCCTCTCCGGTTGTGTCTTTCCCCAAATTCAGCGCCGTGTGCTCCGCATGGCTCCCCGTGCGCTGTGGGCACCAGATTCTCCCGTTCGTCACCCAGCGTTTCTCTCGCCTTTAGATGCATCTTCCAAGGAGCACATCGGTGGTGGTGTTTTCATCCAGTGTGACGATCTATGTCTTTTCATTAAGATGTTTTTTCCATTAATGACATTATGGATATATTTGGGTTTAAACCTACCACCTTCCTATTTGTTTTCTCTTTGTTACACTCGTTAGAATTTTTTTCTCTGCTTCTCCTCTTTGAAACTGAATTTTTATGGAAAACTTTAAAGACATGCAGAAGAAGAAAGCATAGTATGATGAAGGGAATGGGTTGTCACACTGCGGACTTGTGAGCAAACCGTCCATCCAAGCATGCCCCAGTGTGATGCCAGCCCCCGGGGTGGGCAGGCCTCTCTGGGTCTGGAGCCCAGCCTTGACGTCACTTGCTGCCTTCTTAGCTCTTGGTCTTCAAGCAGATTCTTAAGAAAAATTCTGTCCAGTGATTGTGACTCAGCAGAGACGCGGTCTGATCCGCCTGGCCTGCCAGCACCAGAGCGGAGGCCTGCCTGCTGCCTGCAGTCTGTGCATTGGTGCGCAAAAAGGGCAGGCGCCCTGTGGGCTGTGTTTGCTGGGATCCTGAACCTGCGAGCAGGTAGCCTGTCATGCTTGTTGAGCTGACGCGTTAAAGCAACTCACCTGTGATTTGTTTAACGCTCTGTCTTTAACAAACTCTTAGCGGCTTAATTAAAACATTTTTTAAGTATGATCCCATAAAAGTGCATGGGGCTTGTGGGATTAGGACTTGTTCCTTGTTTGAGGCCTGGACAGCTTGAAGCCAGCACCAGCACTGGCCAGGTGGGGTGGGGATCGGGCTGGTGGCACTGCAGAGGGGGTAGGGGATGGAATGGCAGGCCTTTGGGGTGGGGTGAGTGTGTGGACAGGTCAGCAGCCCGAACCCCTGAGACCGGGTGGTGTGGGGGTCCCCTGATCAGGGCAGTGTGTGTATGTCCATGTGGGAGTGCACGTGTGTCTGAATCCCACCGTCTGCTGTCTGTGGAGGTGGGCTCAGGAATCTGGCAGGCCTGGTTGTGACCCGGCTCTACCCCCTAGTTACTGTGTACCCCCATCTACAGAGGGGGTAATGGGTCCGTGGGAATGCCATATGTCCTGAAGCCCTCAGGGCGCCACCAGGCACATGCAGATGCTCATGAGCAGTCAGCCTCTGTTTGGTGACCCTGCCATTCGCCCTACCCACCCCCATGCTCTCCTGGGCGCCCTGGGCGTGAGGGGGTGCTCCCTGCCTGTCTCACTCTCCAGATTCCAGTGTTTGACACCGGAGGGTGACCAAGTGCTTCTGACGTCTGATGCAGGTTCTCTGGCTGTCCAAGGCCATTTCCTCTGGGAATATGGTCATGTCCCCTTTGGGACACACCCCACCCCCTGGCCTCGGGGCCTCAACAGCACTCCCCACCCCCACCCCAGGGGACTCGGAGCAGGAGGTGAGGCTGACCCCCAAGACCCCCAAGGCCACAGTGGGGGGCCTGAGCCCCTCCAGGGGACACTCCATGCAGATCTTCGAGCTCACTGGTTCTGGGAATGTCCTGCTGGCTCCGAGGGGGTTTGTGAGTAAGTCAAGGTCCTGCCCTCTGACCCCCGGCCCCGGGGTGTGTGTGCGGGAAACGGCTGAGCCTCCAGCCGCAGCCCCAGTAGCTGGGGCCCTGACAGCCCCTCGCATCTCTCTGCAGTTGAAGATCTGAACAGTAACACTGTGAGCAGGAGGCCACTGGGGTCAGCCCTGGAGCCCACCTCCTCCCCTGCAGGGAGCCCAGACCCTGAGCCCCGAGTCACCCTGGCCCCAAGACAAGATCCCCCCACTCCTGGTAGGCTAAAGTGGCGTGGGGGTAAGTTGCTGTGGGGAGAGAGTAACTTTCCATTTCTCGTGGTTTTTGTTATTGTGTCTGGGAAATTCTTCCTCTTATCTGACTCACACTCTAGCTTTATCTAAAGCTTGCCTGCTGTTATCCTGGATTCAGGCAGATTTACTGGGGCTGCCCATCCACTGGGGGTGTACTCGGGGCCCCAGTGCCTGAAGCCCCCAGCCTGAGTGTGGCAGGTGGGAGGTGACAGCAGCGGCTTTCCCCAGGAGTGCCTGGCAAGGAGTAGCGCCCACCCAGGGCCCCAGGGGGACGGCCCCTGCTCAGTGCCCCCCAGACCTGGAGAGGCAGATCCATGCCAGGGTCTCTGCTGGCAGGAGAGAAGGGTCAGGCAAAACGGCCAGCACACCAGCCTCTGGGCTCAAGGGGTGGGCTGCTGGTCATGTGGGCAGGACAGACCAGTATGGTGCTCTCTGGCGGCCCGCGAGGTCCTGCAGGCGGCGCTGCGGCTCTCCCGCCAGACCCGGGATGGCCCTGACTTTGTGTCTCCCATCAGACTTGAAATGGAAGGAGGTGTCTCCCTCCTCACAGGGGCATGACCCCTCTCATGGGGGTCCTGGGATCCAGGCCTCTCACCACTTCCCAGTGGACTTGGGTCTGCTGGGCCTCAGGGCAGGGCTGTGTCTCCCCATTAGACAGGGTCTCTGGTGCTTGGCTGGAGGTGCTGTCTGAGCTCACAGGGACCTGGCCTTGTCTCCAAAGAGCTCCCAGGCCAGGCGACAGTGAGGCCCGGGCCTGGAGCTGTCCGTGGTGCTGACCCCACCCACCCCAGCCAGCACCCCCTTGGGCAGCCTCTGCCCCCTGGGCTGGGTGTTAGGCAGGCAGGGAAGGGGGAGGGCCCCTGCTCAGACAGCCGTACTTAGTGCTCAGCACCACGAAGGCCGCTGGAGGGCAGAGGCATGGGGCTGCTGGGACATCGCCCATCCTCTCTGGGAGGCTCAAAGATGCTGAGATGACGGGCCAAGGCTTATGGGGGTTTCTTAAGTCTGGCGAGACCCAAGCAACTCAGTACTCCCTCCTCCCCAAGACCTGGCTCCCTGCCTCTCCTGAGGATGAAGCCCCCTGGCACCCCCTTCCCCCAGCCCCAGGGGGGGAGATCCTGGGTGCTGAGCCTGGTCGGCAGCAGCTCAGGGGCCTGACCCAGCCCCTCACCTCCCTCCCTGCCCACCCAGCCAGCCCCCCATTCCACTGCACGCCCTCCACACCCATGGACATCATCTTCCTGGTTGATGGGTCCTGGAGTATCAGCCACAGTCACTTCCAGCAGGTCAAAGACTTCCTGGTCAGCATCACTGAGCCCTTTGAAATAGGGCGGGATTAAGTCCAAGTAGGTGGGTACCGGCCCTCCCTGGTGGTCCTCACCGTTCCTCCCCAGCCCCCAGCAGGGCTGACTCCAGGACTGAGAAGCGGGAAGTGGGGTGACAGGCAGGAGAGCTCTCTGCTGAGGTGCCCTCCTGCAGCCAACAGGCTGCTTGCCCACCTGGCCCCACCCGGACGGAGGCTGGTTCCTCAGGGGGCACGCTGGCCCCTCCTCTGGGGCTCCTGGGGCTTTGCAGACAGTCACCTCCCTGCTGACTCCCCGGCAGCTGTGTGCAGAGTGGAGGGGTGGGCTCAGCACGTGCCCTGCCCCCATGGCACCTCCCCTCCCAGGCCTGACTCAGTGCAGTGGAGATCCCCAAACCGAGTGGGACCTCAACACCTTTGGCACCAAGGACGAAGTGCTGGCCACAGTCCACATTCTCCGCTACAGAGGGGGAAACACAGTCACAGGTATGCCTGGGCCCCACTGTCCCCACCCTGGTGTCTGTCCCGGTCTCTGTCCCGAAGCCCCTCACTCCTTCCTGCAGATACCTCCCGTCACCCTCCCAGATTTGAAAACTGGTGTGTAAGGCAGCCTACATGTAGTGTGGGCACCTATTCACCCCTTTATGAAGGGCAGACTCCGTCTTGCTCACCTTTGGTGGGCATATGGTGGAGATGGGGTGGAGATGGCTCCTCCCTGCTCCCTGGAGGGGCCAGGGCCAATGGGGGCAGATGCTGGGAGGGGTGATGCGGCTGTGCCTGCACCTTACTCTCACCACATCCCAAGGCCTGGCCCTGCTGGAGCAGAACCTGAAGTCTGCCACCAGTTCCTATCCAGAGGCGGCCAAGGTGGTGGTCCTAGTGACAGATGGCAAGTCCCAGGACGATGTCCGTGCTGCCGGCTGCATCCTCAGGGACCTAGGTGTTGATGTCTTTGCTGTGGGTGAGCAGTGCCAGGCCCTCTGCTCAGGCTCTCACAGCAGGGTGGGTCCCCCGATCACAGGTGTGAGTTTGCACCCAGCCTCAGCTGCACCAGAGGTCGCATGGTATCTGCAGTGGAGCGCTCAGAGGAGCGGGGTGTGCAGGGGCGTTCAGAGGGGCCACACGGTGTGTGGGACAGATCTGCCAGTCTGCAGCCATGTGTGGCCATCTCCCCTGTGCATGGCAACCACTCACACCCCGCACCCCTCAGGAGCCTCTTTCTGCTGACTTACGGACCAGTTGTAACTCTGTGCCTGGAGAAGGCGCCAGAATTGGAGCATTCCTGAGAACAGAGGCCTCCCCAGTGCACCGAACCCCGTCATACATGATTCATCCCAGAGCCTGGGTTTGCCGGTCGTGGGTCGGGTCTGGCTTCAGAGTGTGGGTCAGGAGGGGCCGGGGACTGGAGGCGGTTCAAGGACACCCATGAGCTCAGCAGTCAGGTCATGTGCCTGTGTGGCTGTAGGGGAGCTGGGGTCCAGAGATGCTGGTCTGGGTGTCCCCTCAGCACTGAAAGTAGAGGCCGCTCCTAGGCAGTGTGAAGCCTGGAGGGGGAATGGCGTATCCCTGGAGGGGCCCCCACCCCCACCTCCACTCTGGGGCCAGTCCTTAGCCAGCACACCCCTCCCAGGGCTGCAGAGGGCCGCTGTGCCTCCCCTGAGGGCTTCTGCTCAAACTGGGACACTGTCCAGCTGACACCTCTTCGGGCAGGGCTGGCCGCACCTGGCCCGTTTCGTTCCTGGGTCCCTGGGCCCTGAGAGCAGCTGTCCCAGGCTGGTCCAATAAGTGGCCGGAGCAGCGGTCAGGGCTCTGCCGCCCTGTGGAGAGTGTTGCGATGGGGCGGAGGCGGGCAGGGGCCACAGGCTGAGACTGCATCTGATGTGTCTGGGGCCGCTGTCCTCTCATTCCAGGAAGCTCCTGCCAGGCCCCAGGGACTCCGGCCCACTATGGACAGGAGGGCAGGGGCAGCTGTGGGGTGTGTCTGTGAGGAGAGGGGCGCCTGGCGTGGGCTCAGCTCCCTGGCCATAAGGGTGTGGATGGAGAAGTTCTGGCTCTGCAGTCTGGAGGGGACGGGCAGACAGGTGGACACATGGCCGAGCAGCCTCTTCTGCAGGCTACACCAGAGTGTCCTCGCGCACCCCCACCTTGGCGTTGGCTTCTGGCTCTGGCTGGGTGTTGCCCTGGGACCCAGCCAGGGACAAGGTAAGGATGTGGGAGGGGAGGGTCTCTAGGCCTGTGGCCCCCCAGGGCAGAGGCCCCGCTGGCAGGACAAACCTCCCTCCTGCTTCTGACCCTCCCCAGTTCCAAGTTGTGTTTTCTGGTTGTTTTCAAGACAATTATTCCCCTCGTGTCAATGTATCACTTTGGGTCACTCCAAGGGCGCCTTTCCAATGCAGAATCTAGAACCATTCCCTCTTCCCCCCAGGGCTGTCCCCGGCTCGCCCCTGGCACCTTCCTGGTACACCTGCGGGCAGAGGGCCGCACTGCCCCAGCTTCTCTCCCCAGCACCCCGTGCAGCCTCCTGCTCTGTGCGCTGCCTTTGGGCCGCTGCAGGCTTGCAGCCGGGGACATTCTCATCCCACCGCTTCCTGCTGGGCGTTGCCAGTGTCATTTGGATTGTCCTGGGGGGAATGCAGCCAAGCACACCGTGGGGATGTCCTCGTCAGTTCACTCTGTGAAGGGCTGCAGGTTCAGGCCCAGCCAGGAGGCTGGCTCCTGGTCCTGGGAGCACCCGGAGGCTCCGGCCACTCGCACACTTGCTTCGGCTGCAGCCTGGGCGGCTGCCTGGCACACCCTGGGCGCCCCCTGAGTTGAGAGAGGGAAAAAGATCACATCCCGTGCCTCTTTCAGGCTGTGCCTCTTGGAGTGCTGCCGAGGTCTGGCTGCTCACCTCCTGGTTTCTGTTAGGCACGCCTCTCCTGCCCTGGTCGCAGGGCCACGCCACGCAGCTATCTGCCCTGTGGCTCTGACAGGATCACCCTGAAGTGGGACTGAGCCACTAAGTGACCCCACAGACAACTTGAGTTAAGAATTCAGCAAGATGGGCTGCCCCTCGCAAGGGCCCTGCAGGCTGGACAGACGCTGTGATCTCCCATCCCCAGGCCCAGGGAGAGCTGGGTGGACAGGGACCCGCACGTGCAGACCGCCCTTGCCTGAGGACAGCCCTGGTTAGCGGGGAGGTCGCTCTGGTGTGGGTACTTCCCACCACATGGCCTCTGGCTGCTGGCCCCCACCCTGCCAAGGTCCCCCCCAGCATGTGGACCCCCGAAGCAGCTCCGGATGCCAGAGGCACAGAGAGAGACAGTGGGGCCTTCATGAGCAGGAGCTGGGAGCCCCAGCTCACAAGGGGCTTTTCAAAATCCCCCAAACGAAGACATTCCTGCCTTTCAGCCTGACATCTGGAGACCCGGCTCAGCCGCCTCCTGCTCTGAGGCAGTCACCGTGTCTGCCCTGGGCGCCCTCACCCCTACCCTGCTCCCCACACCCCTAGCTCTCATTGGGGCAGCCACAAAAAGCCTGTCTCTGTCCCCATTTTCCAAAAATAGCCACCCCCACCACGGAGCTCCCGGAAGCTTCCCCAGGGGGTCAGGCTGTGCCAGACGGCTCAGGCCCCACTGACCCTCTGGTTCCCTGGAAGGCCCTGGCACCTGCCACGTGTGGCTGTGCGGACCTTGGGGTCCGCCATGCAGCTGGGGGTGCAGTCTGCTGCCTGGGCCTACGGGGATATCGGGGACAGCTGCTGTTGTGGCTCAGCACCCCCCATAGTCACCAGGGTGGTCATTGCTCCTCACCCCCAGATGCTGGCCTGAGCCTCACTCCCAAGGGCCAGATGGAGGCCTCTCTGGACCTACTTGGCGGCCCAGCACCTCGGACCTGGGGAGAGCCTGGTCCCCCAGCCTGGGCTGGGGCGTGCCCACTCACACGTGTCAGGTCAGGTCCCCGGCCCCACAGCACGTTGGGCTGGTCACGGGGCCAGTCCCGACGGCCCTGTCCTGTCTCCCCAGTGAGTGGCCGCATAAGGCTGGCTGTATTGCCTGAGGACGGGCTGCAGATGAAATGGAAGGGGTAGGAGGGGAACAGCCTCAGATACCTGGCACAGGTGACCCATGGCAGGTGAGGGCCTCTGCCTCCCACCCCAAGGGGCCAGCATGGAGGCCCTTTGTCCCCTTGCCGTACTCCGCCTTTCCTTTCTGCTGCCCCGCTCCTGGGGAACCCCTGGCAGAGGACAGGCCTCCCATGTTCCCACCACTGTACCCGGCATACACACCCAAGGCATGCTGTCGGTGACTATGAGCCCTTTCAGGCTCTGCATGCAGCCCCTTCCTCCAGCAGTGTCTGTCCATATCACCCCTGGTTCAGGGGAGGGAGGCCCGGAGGCTAGACGAGGCTCAGCCCAGCCACAGAACACTCCTGCATGGCCACGGCCACGGCTGCTAGTTTCAGACTTTTTGGACACCAAGGTTCAGTTTTATGCATGCGGAAAAGCCACAGAGAGGGTGTCATTGCAGGAATTGGCTCCACACCAAAGCAGCCAAGCTCACCTGCAGGGTCCCAGTCCCACGGGGAACCCCTTCTTGGCTTGGCTATAGTTTTCTAATACTTGAATAAGCCAAGTATACGGATGTCATTTTTCAAATCTTTTCTATTTGCATCGCTTTTGGGGTCTCCTTACCCTGCTAGTGACTGAGAAGAATATTTTTACTCCCCCGGTGGCTGTAGGTGTGTCTCTCTTGTCCTCTCCCAGCCTTTGTTGTCTATATTGAGGCTCGTGCAAGTTTAGAATCATCCTAGCTTCCCAGCGTATGGATCCTTGTTCACTGTGAGGTCTTCCTAGCCGCCTCTCCGGTTGTGTCTTTCCCCAAATTCAGCGCCGTGTGCTCCGCATGGCTCCCCGTGCGCTGTGGGCACCAGATTCTCCCGTTCGTCACCCAGCGTTTCTCTCGCCTTTAGATGCATCTTCCAAGGAGCACATCGGTGGTGGTGTTTTCATCCAGTGTGACGATCTATGTCTTTTCATTAAGATGTTTTTTCCATTAATGACATTATGGATATATTTGGGTTTAAACCTACCACCTTCCTATTTGTTTTCTCTTTGTTACACTCGTTAGAATTTTTTTCTCTGCTTCTCCTCTTTGAAACTGAATTTTTATGGAAAACTTTAAAGACATGCAGAAGAAGAAAGCATAGTATGATGAAGGGAATGGGTTGTCACACTGCGGACTTGTGAGCAAACCGTCCATCCAAGCATGCCCCAGTGTGATGCCAGCCCCCGGGGTGGGCAGGCCTCTCTGGGTCTGGAGCCCAGCCTTGACGTCACTTGCTGCCTTCTTAGCTCTTGGTCTTCAAGCAGATTCTTAAGAAAAATTCTGTCCAGTGATTGTGACTCAGCAGAGACGCGGTCTGATCCGCCTGGCCTGCCAGCACCAGAGCGGAGGCCTGCCTGCTGCCTGCAGTCTGTGCATTGGTGCGCAAAAAGGGCAGGCGCCCTGTGGGCTGTGTTTGCTGGGATCCTGAACCTGCGAGCAGGTAGCCTGTCATGCTTGTTGAGCTGACGCGTTAAAGCAACTCACCTGTGATTTGTTTAACGCTCTGTCTTTAACAAACTCTTAGCGGCTTAATTAAAACATTTTTTAAGTATGATCCCATAAAAGTGCATGGGGCTTGTGGGATTAGGACTTGTTCCTTGTTTGAGGCCTGGACAGCTTGAAGCCAGCACCAGCACTGGCCAGGTGGGGTGGGGATCGGGCTGGTGGCACTGCAGAGGGGGTAGGGGATGGAATGGCAGGCCTTTGGGGTGGGGTGAGTGTGTGGACAGGTCAGCAGCCCGAACCCCTGAGACCGGGTGGTGTGGGGGTCCCCTGATCAGGGCAGTGTGTGTATGTCCATGTGGGAGTGCACGTGTGTCTGAATCCCACCGTCTGCTGTCTGTGGAGGTGGGCTCAGGAATCTGGCAGGCCTGGTTGTGACCCGGCTCTACCCCCTAGTTACTGTGTACCCCCATCTACAGAGGGGGTAATGGGTCCGTGGGAATGCCATATGTCCTGAAGCCCTCAGGGCGCCACCAGGCACATGCAGATGCTCATGAGCAGTCAGCCTCTGTTTGGTGACCCTGCCATTCGCCCTACCCACCCCCATGCTCTCCTGGGCGCCCTGGGCGTGAGGGGGTGCTCCCTGCCTGTCTCACTCTCCAGATTCCAGTGTTTGACACCGGAGGGTGACCAAGTGCTTCTGACGTCTGATGCAGGTTCTCTGGCTGTCCAAGGCCATTTCCTCTGGGAATATGGTCATGTCCCCTTTGGGACACACCCCACCCCCTGGCCTCGGGGCCTCAACAGCACTCCCCACCCCCACCCCAGGGGACTCGGAGCAGGAGGTGAGGCTGACCCCCAAGACCCCCAAGGCCACAGTGGGGGGCCTGAGCCCCTCCAGGGGACACTCCATGCAGATCTTCGAGCTCACTGGTTCTGGGAATGTCCTGCTGGCTCCGAGGGGGTTTGTGAGTAAGTCAAGGTCCTGCCCTCTGACCCCCGGCCCCGGGGTGTGTGTGCGGGAAACGGCTGAGCCTCCAGCCGCAGCCCCAGTAGCTGGGGCCCTGACAGCCCCTCGCATCTCTCTGCAGTTGAAGATCTGAACAGTAACACTGTGAGCAGGAGGCCACTGGGGTCAGCCCTGGAGCCCACCTCCTCCCCTGCAGGGAGCCCAGACCCTGAGCCCCGAGTCACCCTGGCCCCAAGACAAGATCCCCCCACTCCTGGTAGGCTAAAGTGGCGTGGGGGTAAGTTGCTGTGGGGAGAGAGTAACTTTCCATTTCTCGTGGTTTTTGTTATTGTGTCTGGGAAATTCTTCCTCTTATCTGACTCACACTCTAGCTTTATCTAAAGCTTGCCTGCTGTTATCCTGGATTCAGGCAGATTTACTGGGGCTGCCCATCCACTGGGGGTGTACTCGGGGCCCCAGTGCCTGAAGCCCCCAGCCTGAGTGTGGCAGGTGGGAGGTGACAGCAGCGGCTTTCCCCAGGAGTGCCTGGCAAGGAGTAGCGCCCACCCAGGGCCCCAGGGGGACGGCCCCTGCTCAGTGCCCCCCAGACCTGGAGAGGCAGATCCATGCCAGGGTCTCTGCTGGCAGGAGAGAAGGGTCAGGCAAAACGGCCAGCACACCAGCCTCTGGGCTCAAGGGGTGGGCTGCTGGTCATGTGGGCAGGACAGACCAGTATGGTGCTCTCTGGCGGCCCGCGAGGTCCTGCAGGCGGCGCTGCGGCTCTCCCGCCAGACCCGGGATGGCCCTGACTTTGTGTCTCCCATCAGACTTGAAATGGAAGGAGGTGTCTCCCTCCTCACAGGGGCATGACCCCTCTCATGGGGGTCCTGGGATCCAGGCCTCTCACCACTTCCCAGTGGACTTGGGTCTGCTGGGCCTCAGGGCAGGGCTGTGTCTCCCCATTAGACAGGGTCTCTGGTGCTTGGCTGGAGGTGCTGTCTGAGCTCACAGGGACCTGGCCTTGTCTCCAAAGAGCTCCCAGGCCAGGCGACAGTGAGGCCCGGGCCTGGAGCTGTCCGTGGTGCTGACCCCACCCACCCCAGCCAGCACCCCCTTGGGCAGCCTCTGCCCCCTGGGCTGGGTGTTAGGCAGGCAGGGAAGGGGGAGGGCCCCTGCTCAGACAGCCGTACTTAGTGCTCAGCACCACGAAGGCCGCTGGAGGGCAGAGGCATGGGGCTGCTGGGACATCGCCCATCCTCTCTGGGAGGCTCAAAGATGCTGAGATGACGGGCCAAGGCTTATGGGGGTTTCTTAAGTCTGGCGAGACCCAAGCAACTCAGTACTCCCTCCTCCCCAAGACCTGGCTCCCTGCCTCTCCTGAGGATGAAGCCCCCTGGCACCCCCTTCCCCCAGCCCCAGGGGGGGAGATCCTGGGTGCTGAGCCTGGTCGGCAGCAGCTCAGGGGCCTGACCCAGCCCCTCACCTCCCTCCCTGCCCACCCAGCCAGCCCCCCATTCCACTGCACGCCCTCCACACCCATGGACATCATCTTCCTGGTTGATGGGTCCTGGAGTATCAGCCACAGTCACTTCCAGCAGGTCAAAGACTTCCTGGTCAGCATCACTGAGCCCTTTGAAATAGGGCGGGATTAAGTCCAAGTAGGTGGGTACCGGCCCTCCCTGGTGGTCCTCACCGTTCCTCCCCAGCCCCCAGCAGGGCTGACTCCAGGACTGAGAAGCGGGAAGTGGGGTGACAGGCAGGAGAGCTCTCTGCTGAGGTGCCCTCCTGCAGCCAACAGGCTGCTTGCCCACCTGGCCCCACCCGGACGGAGGCTGGTTCCTCAGGGGGCACGCTGGCCCCTCCTCTGGGGCTCCTGGGGCTTTGCAGACAGTCACCTCCCTGCTGACTCCCCGGCAGCTGTGTGCAGAGTGGAGGGGTGGGCTCAGCACGTGCCCTGCCCCCATGGCACCTCCCCTCCCAGGCCTGACTCAGTGCAGTGGAGATCCCCAAACCGAGTGGGACCTCAACACCTTTGGCACCAAGGACGAAGTGCTGGCCACAGTCCACATTCTCCGCTACAGAGGGGGAAACACAGTCACAGGTATGCCTGGGCCCCACTGTCCCCACCCTGGTGTCTGTCCCGGTCTCTGTCCCGAAGCCCCTCACTCCTTCCTGCAGATACCTCCCGTCACCCTCCCAGATTTGAAAACTGGTGTGTAAGGCAGCCTACATGTAGTGTGGGCACCTATTCACCCCTTTATGAAGGGCAGACTCCGTCTTGCTCACCTTTGGTGGGCATATGGTGGAGATGGGGTGGAGATGGCTCCTCCCTGCTCCCTGGAGGGGCCAGGGCCAATGGGGGCAGATGCTGGGAGGGGTGATGCGGCTGTGCCTGCACCTTACTCTCACCACATCCCAAGGCCTGGCCCTGCTGGAGCAGAACCTGAAGTCTGCCACCAGTTCCTATCCAGAGGCGGCCAAGGTGGTGGTCCTAGTGACAGATGGCAAGTCCCAGGACGATGTCCGTGCTGCCGGCTGCATCCTCAGGGACCTAGGTGTTGATGTCTTTGCTGTGGGTGAGCAGTGCCAGGCCCTCTGCTCAGGCTCTCACAGCAGGGTGGGTCCCCCGATCACAGGTGTGAGTTTGCACCCAGCCTCAGCTGCACCAGAGGTCGCATGGTATCTGCAGTGGAGCGCTCAGAGGAGCGGGGTGTGCAGGGGCGTTCAGAGGGGCCACACGGTGTGTGGGACAGATCTGCCAGTCTGCAGCCATGTGTGGCCATCTCCCCTGTGCATGGCAACCACTCACACCCCGCACCCCTCGGGAGCCTCTTTCTGCTGACTTACGGACCAGTTGTAACTCTGTGCCTGGAGAAGGCGCCAGAATTGGAGCATTCCTGAGAACAGAGGCCTCCCCAGTGCACCGAACCCCGTCATACATGATTCATCCCAGAGCCTGGGTTTGCCGGTCGGTCAGCAGGGTGTGGGACCCAGAGGAAGCACACTGGGCCCTCCTGGCCCGGAGCCCCACAGACCCCGCAGGGACACACAGCCTGCCAAGGGCCTTCAGGGGTCTGCCCCAGCTGCCTTGGGGCTGTGTCTCTCACCTGAGCCCGACAGATGACCCCGTTCTTGGGCCTGGGGGGTTTTGGTACGTGGCTTGGGATGGCCCCCCACACTGGCTGGGTGACTCAGGCAAGGGGCCTGTGGTCCCAGCTGTAAGACGGGACAGCAGTGCCAAGTGGGTGGGGTCGGGGGCATCCACGCCGCACCTCACCCTGTGCACAGGTGTGAGGAATGCAGACGAGGGCAAGCTGCGGCTCCTGGCGTCCCAGCTGCTGGACGTGATGGCCCCCAGTGTGCCGGACTTCCCCAGCTCAGCACACTGGCCAGCACTCCTGGCTGGAAGGAGGCCATGTGTAGGTCCTTCTCCCGTGTGCTCTAAGGACAGGGCAACCTTGCAACCATCTGCAAATGAGCCACTAAATTTGTCTCCTTTGAGAACCCTGGCCTCCTGTGTGCATATTGGCATTTGTAAGGATTTGTAAGAAGCAACCAGTGTGTGACTAACTGTGAAAAACCCACGGTGATTCCTGACACGCGGTGACCACCCTACTGCATGGAGGTGCCTTCGATCAAAGTCGGAACTGTGATGCACCTAGTGTGGTTTGTTCTTAAATTCAAATGTTTGAAATTATCGAGGTACTCGTGTGCTTTGTAAGAGAAATTTTGAAAATGAAAAACACATAATTGTACACGATGCTACTAAGACCTATGTCTCCCCACTGGCCTCCCACCCGCACAGCAAGCCCACCCCTTCCACCCTGGGCATCGCCCTGTCCATGACCCCTGCAGCCCCCCTCTGCCCAGTCTGTGCTGCAGCTCCGCCCAGAGCTGTTCCCGCCTCGTGGGACTTTGGTTTCCTGCAGTGGGCCGAAGCCCTCCTCTTACCCGGGGCCCCTTCCTCCCAGCCACGTTCTCATCCTCCGGCGGGCTGCTCTGCCTGGAGCCCGCGGTTTACTCTGCCTTTTATCTGCCCCTTGTTCCCCGGCTTCTCTCCAGCCGACCACAGACCTTGCCGTGGCTCCCACATGCCATCCCTTTGCTGCTGATCGGCTTCTCCCAGGCCATCACTGCGTGAAAGGCCAGGCATTTCCTGTTTGCCTATTTGCTCTTAGGCATGCATGCCCCACCCCAGGAGCCACCGGGACACAACGGAGGGGAAGGGCCCTCAGGAAGGGTACAACAGTTACCAAGGCCCTGGGGTCAATGCTCAGAGACTTGCAAGCATGGACTGGGTGGATCTAAGGGCTCCTCATTATCCTAAGCGCAGATGGAGGACAAATAGGGAGCAGTTTTATGGGGTAACCCAAGACCCTGCTCCCCACCCCTCAGCACTCCCGGCGGGCACTGGCATGGGTCCCCACTGCCCGCCCAGCCTGAGCACGCCGACAGCACGGGTCGGCGGGAGGGCATGGCTGCCCCAGCACAGGGCCCAAGACCCCCTGCCAGGCCTCCGCCTGCAGCGTCTCCCATGCAGACTCCGAAGGGTGGGGTCGTGGTGAGCCCTGCCCAGCGTCGCCCTGGTACTGGCTGGGTGGGGGGACCTTTGGCCGCAGCTGGGCCTCAGGGCAGAGCGCTGTGTCCTCGGACACTCTGAGAGCCTGTGTGGGGGTGGGAGGGCAGCCTTGGGGGGGTACTCTGTCCCTCACGTACGTCTTTCATGCAGAAGCCAAGGCAGGAGAGGCTCCAGCTTGGCCACATGGACCCCGGCCTGCAGCCCCGGGGGTCCGGGGGATGAAAGGCAGGGACCCAACCGTCCCGGCTCCTCTCGGGCCCCCACCCATGCTCCCACAGTGACACCTACCCGGCCGCCCTCCCACCGGAATACACAGTGGTCTTCCTCCTGCACCTGTGCCCCGAGATGCCCCGTGAGGCCTTCGCCCTGTGGCAGATGATGGCCGAGGACTTCCAGCCTACCCTGGGGCTCCTGCCGGATGGTCAGGAGGGAGGGAGGGCAGCGGGCTCAGGTGGGCCTGGAAGCCCCTTGGGCTGTGGGTCCTCAGCAAGTCCACCTCCAGGCCAGGCCAGGGCCTCTCCAGGCAGAGAGCAGGGCACCCACCCTCTCCAAAGCATGGCCCCTGAGGTTTGGGGCACATGGGGCTTTGCACCTGCCACGGGCCTCAAGTACTCCTTGCTTCCATCCCCACAGAAAATCCCTGACCTACTTCAACCATGTCCCCGGGGCCACCTTGCAGGAGGTCACCTTCAACCTGCCCGAAGTGAGGACCATATTCTTCAGGAGCTTCCACAAGGTCCTGGAAGGTTCTGGAGGCCCAAGGCTTGCCTCCCCTGCCCAGCTCCCCAGGTCCTGGGGCAGAGCCCCCGCTGTCGGGACTCTGCAGGACAAGCTCGCTGTCTCCCAGCCACAGGCTGTCCCGTCCCAGCAGCTCCACCCTCCCCTGTGCTCCCTGTGCTGGAACTTCCTTCGGGAGTCACAGTGGCCCATGTGGGCCTCTGCCCGTGAGGTCCCTTCTGCCCCTGGTGCCCCTGTCTGGATTTGTGTCAGAGAGCACCCCAACCCTCTTCTCTGCGTCCTGGGAGTTCCTAGGAGGGGTCTGCAGCTGGGGGCACTTTGTCCATTTTACAGAGGGGGCACTAGTGAGAGGGTCCGAGACTTGGGGCAGAGTCAAGATCCTGTCCCCAGGTGACGGGCGCTTCCTCCCAGCTGTGCCTTGCGAGCACAGGTGGGCGCCCACCCTAGCTGGGGCTTCAGGGGACCCTCCCGTGGTGTCTGCAGGTGCACGTGGCCGTGAGCCGCTCCACAGGCAGACTGCACGTGGACTGTCGGAAGGTGGCTGAGAGGCCCATCGGGGAGGCAGGCAGCCCACCCGCCACTGGTTTCCTCTTACTTGGGAGGCTGGCCGAGTCCCGGGGCCCCCAGGGCAGCTCTTCAGTGGTGAGCTGGGCGCCTCCTGCTGGGCAGGGCCGGGCAGGGCTGGCAGACCCCCAGGCCATGTCGGGCTGACCCTGCTTGTCTGCTTCGTGGTTCCAGCTCCAGACACTGCAGACCATGTGCCATGCCCCCTGGGCAGAGGAGGACAAGTGCTGCGAGCTCCCTGCGGCGGTAGGCGGCAAGTGCTGCCAAGGGCCCCAGAGCCTGGGGGTAGCCGGGCATCTGTCATCCTGGCGGGGGAGAGGTCAGGGCAGGTTTCCTTGAGGAGGTAGCCCACAGGCCAGAGCTGGGGTCCTGGGGAGCAGGATGGGAGAGTCCAGGAGGCCCTGGGAGCATGGCAGGCTGGAGCGGGCTGGGAAGCCCCAGCTGCAGGGGGCCACTTCGCTTTTCTTCAGGCAGAGCCGGGCTATAGCCAGGCCGGGGCTCACGCGGCAGGCAGTGAGCAGGGGTCCTTGGTGTACCGTGCTGGGCCGGCCATGTGGGGAGCCTGGGAGGGGCTGGGAGAGGGAGTCCTCCCAGGAACTCATTCCACCCATTCCCTCACCCCCAGCCTCCCAGGTGTGGGTCTGGAGGGTCCTTGGAACCCAGGCATCCATGGCTACCTGAGCTCCAGCTCAGACCATAGCCGGGGAGAGTCCATTACTGAGCAGGGTCTCCTTTCTTCCAGAAGGAAGGAGAGTCCTGCCCGGCTTTGCCTTCTGACTGCACCTGCTCCTCGCAGACCCCTGGGCCCCCTGGGCCCCAAGGACCTTGGCCACATCTCACTGCCACTGGCAGAGGGCAGGCCCCCGACACCCACAGCAGCCGTCCCGGGCCCACCTCGCACATGGGATGCACTTCATGAGCCTCCTCGGTACCTTATCCGCCCCCACCCCGCCAGGCCCCTCCTCTGAGCCTCCCACTGGCCTCCCTCCCCAGAGCTGACGCCCTTCAGGAGCAGGATGCCGCTTATCTCGGATTCCCAGCTGGGTGGGGGCCCAGGCCCAGCGAGTCTAGGCACTGCTGTGGGGCCGGCTGGCGTGGTGTGCCTGGTTGTGAGTCACTGGGTCCTGGGTGCTCTGGGCTCTGGGTGCTCTGGGCTGTGGGTCAGCCCTTGGGGGAGCCCTTCCATCCGGTCCCCAAGGAGACAGCTCCCCAGGCCCTGGGCCTCCTGCTGTGGGCCCGCAGTCTTCACCAGGGACGAGCCAGGGCTTGAGAGGCCCAGAGTACAGGGCAGTGCTGAGCGGAGGTCCACCCGGCCTGGTGGGCGGTGCTGCAGCTCAGCCGGCTGGCACCCTTGCAGGGTGTCCCCGGGAGGAGCGGAGCCCCAGGAGAGCGGGGCTTCCCAGGGCCCAGGGTGAGTGATGGCAGGCCCGAGGGGCAGGGGCCCGGCATGTGCACGAGAGGCAGGGGTGAGCCCCCCGCCCCCTGGGCCCAGGTGTCCTCCCTGGGCAGGGGCCCGCTCCCCACCCCACCCCACAAGTCCTGTGTGGCCGCAGCCTTGGGCAATGCCACGGGGATGGTGTTGAGGCCCTATTAGTTGGCATTTCTCCACGCAGCTCTGGCACCCTTTGGAAGTTGCTGGTGTTTTCTTGTTGGAAATATGTTCTCTGAGCCTCCTCTGTACGGCTGGCCACGTATCTGGGCTCTGAGTCTCGTGTCCTGAGGCACTGAGTATCCCAACAGATGGGCTTCTCTCCCCTAAGCCTGCAGCTCTGTCCTCTGTAGCTCCCGACTTCTGCTCTGTGAAAGGTCTCCGTGGGTCCGAGTACAGAGCACAGGGTCTCGCGGTAAGCACGAAATGCCTTTCTCGGAGGTGACTCTTGCGTGAGGAGTGAGGGGGGGACCGACCTCTGCCCCCAGCTCTCCGCACAGCCACCGACTGAGTGGCCCCCCACCCCATCTGAATGGGCTCTGCAGCTTCCAGCCCTCAGCGGGCCCTTCCCTGAGGCCGCGTCTCCCCCGCACCCCGGGCCTGTGGCCGAGCCCCCTGGCTGTAGCTGCTCTCTCTCTGCATCATTCCTGTCTCCTCTTTCCTATTTCTTGCTCCGTCATCTTACCTGACATGGTTTACTTTCAGATGATTTTCTTGGGATTTCCTGGTTAAATTCACATCACCCGCCGAACACTACTTTTCACTTCAGTTCCTTCTCTCGTGTAATGGTGGTGGTGAAAACGTAGCATTTCTCCAGGACCGAATGCCTGCGAACAGACGCCCTCGCCATGACTGGTGGAAATGCCTCTGGCATTTATCTGTTGGCTGTGGGGCTGGCTTGGTATCGGGCAGACATTTTTCTCCCATGACGGTAAAATTCACTTACTCTTGTTTTATCAGGAGATTAAAAAATCAAGAGTGGATATTAAATAAGATTTAGTGCTGCTTTAGCTGCTATGGACATGATCAAACAATTTTTCTTCGGGAGCTGTGTGGTGAGTGAGTTTTGTGTGACCCTCAGTACTGAGCCATTCCTGCATCGGGTAGAAAGCCGCCCTGGTCACTGAACACCCACTGTCCATTTCATGGGCTACAGGATCTGTCTGCTAATGTGTCAGATTTTCACATCGTTATTCAAACATGAAAGAGTCTGCTGTTCTCTTTGTGGAGTGTGGTGCATTGATGGGCTGAATTCACAAAAATTATTTGAAAGCATTCTTTCTTTGCCCTGAAACCTGGAACCATTTAAACAGCGCTGGTGTCAGTGCCCCTTAGAGGCCTGGTAGAATGTTCCGGTGGGATCAGAGCATTGACTGGCCTGTTGGGGTTTTCTGCTGAACCACGGTGATTTCTGCACCTGCCGCTACTGGAAGCTTCTAGATGTGGGAGAAGGGGTGGGGGCTGGGTGGAGCTGGCCGCACACCCTGAAGGTGGCCCTCATCGTCTCCGTGACCCGGAAACATGCTTGGGCTGGGGGCTGACCCAGAGGGCTCGTGGCAGGCTCCCTCCAGTGGAAGTGCCCCTTGTGGGCCTGGGTCTGGATGCACCGGCTGGATGTGGGCAGAGGTAGGGAGGGCTCCAAGGGCAGTACCAAGGGAGGGGGCTGGGGGAGGTGCCCCTTCTCACCCCAGCCCTGCCCACGTCTCCAGGGAGAGCCTGGGCCACCTGGGTAAACAGCGCCTGAGGGTCCTGGAGGCCAGCAGGGGTCACCAGGGTGCCGGGCCGAACTGCGCAGGGACCCGTGGTAGGTGTTGCCTCTCCCACCCCACTGCTCCCCACCCCTGCCTCCCCCTCGTTCCCCACCCCCTCCCCCCTCCCCCTCATCCCCCACCCCATCCTCCTGCCCCTCCATCTGCCCCTCCCCGTCCTCCTTCTGCCCCTCCATCTGCCCCTCCCCGTCTCTCCCTTCCCTCCCCACCCATCCCCCATCTCCCCCCCATCTCCCCCTCCCCACACTCCCCCTCCTGACCCCGAGCCTTGCTGCCCAGCCTGTCTTTCCCCTCCAGGGTCCACCAGGGGTCAAAGGAGAGAAAGGGGTCCAAGGGCTCCCGGGCCTGCAGGTAGTGGGGTCAGACCCTGCTCCGGGCTTGGGGTGGGGATGGTGGCACCCCCATGGGCTTGGGTCGCCAGGTCCTCCTCTGGGTCAGCCCCTGGCCCCAGCCTGGTCAGCTCCCTCTGTTCTCTTATGGGGCCACCCTGGCCACCAGGGCTCCCCTGGGAAGGTCGGCCTCCAGGGACTGAAGGTGGGGTTGGGTCACGGGTCACCAGGGTGCTGCTTGGGGGGGCCATGTGGTCGCCTTGGGGGTGGTGCAGGTGTGTGAGGCCCCCTCAGCCCGCCTCTTCCTTTGTGCTCAGGGAATGCGAGGTCTGGCGGGCACTGCTAGCCTGCCCCGACCCCCTGGCCCCAGGGTAGGCACCTCTCTTCCCTGAGCCCGCACCCTGCCCACACCCCCAGGGCTCTTGGGGCTGAATTGAACACAGTCTGGCCCCCTCGCCCCCCACCGGCTGTAGCTGGGTCACCTCCAGGAGGCAACCTGGGGGCCCTCTCCCTGGGCTGGAAGCTTCTAGGCTCTGCTGGGCATGTGAGCATCCTGTGCCGAGGAATGCAGCAGCCTCCCCCTGCCCCTTGCCCCTTGCTCCCTGCTCCGGCAGGTTGGTGTGACAATGCAGTGTTTGCACGGTCCCCCCGATACCTGTACCCCAATTCCACACAGCAGGAAAGTGTCTGGGCCCCCTTCTCTCTCTCTCCCTCCAAAGCACCAGGACACCCCCACCCTTGAGGCCACCCTGCTGGAGGGCAGGGGCTGCAGCCTTCCATTTGGAAATGCCTTCCTACCCAAGCCCTGCTTCCCGGGAGTCCCTGCTGAGCTCTGTGCCTGGGGGCTGCTCTGAGTGGGGGTCCAGGACAGACAGCCCAGGCCCAGCCAGGATCTCCCAGGGATGGGCCTCAGCCCCTCCTGCAAGAAGCCACCCTCTGGGGGACCTGACCTGTGGTCACACTCAGGACAACTGGAACACAGCCAGGGGACACTTGAGTACAGAATCAGGAGGTGGGGTCTGCCCTGGGCGTAGGGTGAGGATAGCAGGGCCTGGACTAGCCCTGGGCTGGGTGACGAGGAGCAGCCTGCAGGAGGCACAGGCCTGCAGGAGGCTGGGGACAAGCTAAGGGGTGTTAGCCCAGGGCAGTGGGGACCCAGACCTTAGGGAGCCAGGGGACCTCCTGGAGGGGGGAGGGGGCTTCAGTCAAGCCCTGACCTCTGCCTCTTTGCATGGCTTACAGGGCATGGTGGGGGCCAGGGGGACCAGTGGGGAGCAAGGACCCCCAGGGGCTGTGGACCCACAGTAAGTTCCCCCAAAACCAGCCAGCCAGCAGCAAGTTGGGGTAGTGAGAGACACAGATGTGTGCAGACACATCCTCGCTGGCTGCTTGAGGCCTTCCTGGGCAGCATGTTTGTGAAGCAAGGCCCACGTTTGGGGCCTGCCCGTAGCAGAGGGAGCCTGGCCTGCGAGGCCCAGGACAGGTGGGGCTCAGGTAGTGGGGCTGTGGGCTCTGGGGGGGGTTGGGGCAGACCTGGGCCTGCAGGCTGGGTGGGGGCTCCAGCACATTCCCGGGAGCTGGGCAGGCGGAGGGAGGCGAGGGCCGGGGGGACTCTGTCCAGGCCCGCCACACTCACCCCTGCAGCCCAGCTGCCGGGGTCCTGGGACCATCTTGCCTGCGGGGAAGTGTGTCCTTTGCCCCCTGGGGTCTCCCTGCTAGGATTAGGGCTTCAGGGTGGGACTCAGGCCCTGCCCCTTCGGGGTCTCAGGTGCCAGGTCTCCCACCCACTGGATGGATGGGGCCCCACACGGAGGGGCTTCTTTGCTGCAGTTTATTTCTCTCTGCCAGGGAGTTCTCCCTGCTTCCTCCTGCTTCAGGGGCTGCCGGGGCCCAGGGGGGGAGTGAGGAGAGAAGGTAAGTGAGGCACCACCTGGGGGGCTGAGGTGCCCTCACACTGAGGGGCCAGCCTGGTGGTGGTGCTGTGCCCAAGGCCCCTCTTCCCCCCAGGGCGAGCCACAGCCACTGGCCACCATCTACCAGCTTGTGCGCCAAGCCTGCGAGTCCACCATCCAGAGTGAGTGGCCGCCTCCTCATGGGACCCCACAGCCCCTTGCACCCCCGTGCCATCTCTGTCCTCATGCTGGCCAGGCTGGGCAGGTGGCTGGTGCCCAGCCGCTAGCACAACCAGCCTCCACCCTGCACCCATGCCAACCGCCCCTCTGCCTCCCAGAGCACTTGAAGTTCAACCCCTTCCTCCACGAGGGTGCCAGGCCCCCCATGCCCATCCTGGAAGCTCCCAGATGCGCCAGTGGGCACAGCAAGGAAGGGGGACATGGTGGTCCCCACCCTGAGTGGGGAGGTACTGTCCCCTTTGGGGAAGGGTCTGGGGGTCACTGGGGCTCTTCCCCCACTCCTGGGCTGGTCTCTCTGTGTGGCCCCTGCACCAGGCCGCCTGCCCTCCTGGGTGCCTGGATGTAGAGATGGGCGCCTGAGCACACACAGGACTGGGCACTGCCTGGTTCCCCCAGGCCCTCAAGCAGCCCCTTTCCCAGAATCCCAGGAAACCACGTCCTGGTGCCCCCATGCCCCCCTCTTTCCCGCGTGCTCCGTCTCCCCATCTTGCCTGGGTGCAGTAAGAGGCTTGGTCCAGTGACCTTTACACGCGTCCGTCCATCTGATGGGGGCTGCAGGCCAGTCGTGGCCCAGAGGCTGACTAGGGGAGGCAGAACTCATGGGTCTCAATGGGGAAGAGGAGCCCAGCAGGGGAGTGGCTGTGGCTGGGGAGCAGGGAGGGGAGTGGGTCCTGCTCTCCCCAGAGGCTGTGGGTTTGGAGGGGGGACCCCAGTTGTGGGAATCTGCTGCCCCACAGCCCATGACAGCCCCCAGATGTTGCCTTTGGGATAAACACCCCTCTTTACCCACCCATCTAGACAAGGCTGGCAAGTGCTCTCATGAGGACCTCAGCCAGGGACCCCCACCTGGCTCCCACCCCACCTCACTCCAAACCATGGTCACTGAGCTAACGACAGGTGCCTGTTTGGGGCTCAGGGACCCTCATCCCCATGAGGGTGGACCTGCTGCCCCCAGGCCCGAGGAGGGGCTCAGGCACCCACCTTCCCCTCGTCCAAACAGGGTCCCTGAGAAAGGAAATTGTTGCCACCTGTACCCCTCAATCCTAGCACCCATGCCCTTCCTCTCAGGTGAACCTGGGGCTCTCAGTCAGATGGGCAACCATGGGCTGCAGGGCAGCAGGCGCCCAGGACCCCCGGGAGGAATGGGTGAACCCCGCTGGGGAGGAGGAACTCCTGAGGGCAGCGGGGGGTGGGGGGTAAGCAAGGTGGGTGAAGCGGGGGACCCTGGGTAGGGGAAGCAGGGGTGTGTGGGGACTCACAGGCCTTGGGGGAGCCAGGGAGGACTACAGGCAGGCTCAGGGGCCCAGAGCACCGCCAGGGAGGCGCACAGGTCAGGGCGGGCTCCATAGGAGCAGCGCCCCAAGGAGCAGACCATTCAGAGGGCCCATGGCCCTGCTCTGCCCGTGGTCCTGCTGAACAGGCGGGACTCTGGGAGCCTGGGTCCCAGTTCGGGCTGGGCTGGGCCGCTGCGTCCCAACTGGGCATCAGCAGCCTCTGCCAACCCACACTTGCCTGATCTCTCCTGCCAGAACATCCCCTCTGCTGCCCCAGGTGACCCTGCCCCTCCTCCCCGAGTGCTCCGGACACACGGAGGGCTGTGCGGGAGGAGCCTGAGGGGAGGGCACGGGCCTGGGAGCCTCCCTCCCCGCCATGCCCACATTCAGGTAAACACTAGGTGGAGGGAGGTGGCTCCTCATTACTGGCGACGGGCGTGTTCCCCCAGGAGCCCCAAGTCTGGCTCTGTGGGGTGGAGTATGACATTCCCGTGTCTCAGAGAGAGGCCACATCCTTCCCTGGTCTCAAGGACCGTGCCCCATGGTCCCCCTCTGACCTTGGCACTCAACCCCTTCCCTGAGGCCGCAGCTGCCCCGGCCCTGTGGCGCTGTAGCCTGTGCCCCTCCGGTGTGGACGACATCGTCTGTTCCCTCCTGCAAGTACGTTACAGCCCCAGCACCACCGGGGTCAGGAGGCCGTGGCTCCCAGACCAGCTGGGCCCTGCCCCCTGGCACCCTGTCACGTGGGGTCTGGAGAGGCGGGTTGTGACCTTTGGGAGAAGGAGCAGATTCCTCTGCCTCCCAGGCCTCTCCCTTCCACCCGGACCCGGCTCCCGGGGAGGAGCCCCATTGCCCTCCCTCTCCTGCACCCCCAGCACATGGAGCCTGAGCCCCAGAGTCAGGAGAACCCACCCCACGCCACCCTGGGGCAGCGGGGACACTGTTGGCACTGCCCAGAGCACCTGTGGGCCTCCCACTGCCTCAGCCAGGCAGAGGCTGCTTGGCCATGCTGGCCCCGGGGAGGGTGCACCCAGGGCTGGGAGGCCCGTGAGGGCACAGCCCACCCCACAGACCACACTCCAGAGGTTCTCGGAGGTGGCCCTGGAGAATCGTCCTCAGGCATCCTCTCTGTCCCTGGCCTCACCATGGCTACCATGTCTGTGCCCGTAAGAGGGTCTCCCAGTGGGGGCTGCACTCTGGGGGAACCCACAGGAGGTCAGGGGAGAGCTGGGATGGGGAGCCCAGAGCCCCAGGTTCCTCACCAACCGCCCGTGCCCACGGACAACTTGGGGCATCAGTGGGCCCTTGCTAAGTCCTGCCCAAGACCCCCAAGGCACCCTGGAAGCAGGCGTCCGGACCTGCCCCTGGGGAACCGGCCGCTGGCTTGTTGTCCTCCTAGCAGCACCAGGCCCAGCAACTCTGCTCAAAGCGCCTTGGGCACAAAATAGGTTTTTACTAATTTACCCAAAACAAAACAAAATAGATGCCTGCCTGGACCCCCCTCTGGCAAATGAGATCTGAGTGTTTGCTGACTGATTTCCATGGGGTGAAGGAGAGCAGGTCTGACAACCCCAGGGGGGCAATGCCCCCAAGCCTGGGGAGGGAGAGGCGGCCAGGCGGCTGACTCAGGCACCTCGGCTCAGGGATCCCAGGGATGAGGGGCACTTGGGGCTGAGAGGGCTGAAGGTCGCGGCCCCCAGGAACAGTCACACTGCTGCGGTGTTGCACTGAGAGTGTCAGATGCGCACCCTGGGCAGGAAGCCAACGTGTCACCATGCTCCAGATAAACTTTATAAGACTCAGGTGGTTGACGCCACCCTACGGACGAGAACAGGCATTTACCAGCCACTCCTTTCCAGGCCGGCTGCCTCCCAGGTAGGTCCCAGCCAGACTGAGCCCACGCCAGCTCTCAGGGGGCAGCAGCCCTTTCTGAGGCCGTCTCACAGTAGACACAGCACAGGGGGATGATTTAGCAAATGGTGTGACCCCTAGGCCCCCGAGAGTCCTGCAGAGAGCCAGGCTCAGACCCCCAGTGAGCTGCCCGTAGACACCGCCTGGGTCTGGCAGGTGCATGTTCCCCCGCTGCCTAGATCATGCCGGCCAGCCAGGGTGGCAGGAAGAGGCCCACAGTGCCCAGCAAGCAGACGATGACAAACACCCAGAGGAAAATGCGGTCGATGACCATGGCCACGTATTTCCAATCCTCCTTCACCTGCAAAGAGAGACACATGGTCACTCCACCACCACCCTCGGCCTCCCCGGCACAAGAACCTTCTGGTACCTAGTGCTTGGCCTGGCAGGTTCTGAGGTTCCTGTCCTTGCCCCCCAAGGTCACCAGCACCACAGGTGATGAGGGTCACAGGCACATGCCTGTGCTGAGGAGACCAGTAGGGAAGGATGCAGAGAAATGGCTTGTCCTGCTGACGTCTGGGCTCGGGAACACTCGGGCTGCAGGGGTTGAGCACCCCCCATAAGGGGCCAACATTATGGCCACGTGGGGCCTGACATTGCCTGCCTGGCAAGGGGCCTGAGCTCCAAAGAGGTGGACAGTGAGGGCCTCGGGGGACATCAGGGTCCAGGCTGCGTGACAGTGGAGTTGGCTCTCGGTTTGCAAAAGCTGGAAGGGCACTGTGGAGGCCCAGTGCACCCCCACTTTGCAGGTGTAGATGTGGGGGGCACCCACTTGCCCAGCATACCGGGCAAGGGTCAGAAGCATCTAAAAAGAACCTGCAGTGTGGGCCCCACCGTGGATGGTGTCCCAAGAGCATCCCAAGTGGGGCCTGGCTGGCCCCACTCCTTCCCCTGCCGTGGGGCAGGTGCTCACAAGCCAGCTGCCCACGGAGCCTGTGGCCCCTCATGGTCAGTGGGGTCTCTCAGCTCCATGAGGGCCACATGCACGAGGTGGGCAAAGTCCTGGGAGCTGCAGGCAGGCTCTGAGTGGGGCAGGGTGGCCAGGGATGGGGGCCCCAACCTTTCTCCAGGGCATGCTGGAGGGACCGGGCACCGGGGACCACATGGACTTGGGGTGGGAGCAAACAGCACAAAGCAGGCTGAGCTCACCACCTGCTCCACTCACCCCTGAGCAGAGGCCCCACCCTCACCGTCCTGCAGGCCAAGAATAAGCACAGCTCCACATCTGTGCACGGGGAGCAGGTCCAGCCCAGGTACTCCCCGTCCTGGCTCCGAACCCCATGTTGGCCTCCCTGGGGCCGAAGCAGCGGCTGCCTGATGACCCCAGGGACAAAGGCTGAGTGGCAGACGCAGAGCCCAGCCAGGCTGCAGGGGTCCCAGTGGGCAGCTAGTCAGCGCTCGAGTGACCAGAGAGGCAGCCCCAGGGCTCAGGCCACCGGGTGTGACAGCCTCAGCAACAGGCAGGCCTCAGCTTCCCCATTTTGGGGCATCAAGGAAAAGAGGGTTCTTCTTTGCCATTTTCTGCTCTGATTTTTTTTAAGTAATCAGAGGCGTCCTGATGGTTCAAACCAAGCTGAAACAGCCGCGTTTATTCACAGGAAACCTGAGAGCAAACGGGGTCGCTTATAAATAAAAAGTCCACCGCGTGCCCTCTGTTCCAGGAGGCAAGACCAGCCTCCATTCCCTCCTTTCTTCCCGCCCTGCATGCCGTCTCCATCCCAAAGAAGAAACGCCTTTGCAGACAGAGCGGCGGGGACATGAGGCCGACTCCCGTGAAGCCAGCTCTGCGCCCCAGAGCCCGGGGATGGAGACGCACTCAGGACCCAGAACCAGGTCGTGGCAGCCCTGTGCTGACAAGTGTCACCGAGTGCCAGAGTCCACGGAGGGTCTGATGACACTTGGAAGGGCCAAGGCCACGCTGCACAGGCCCACTCTGACCCCACGCCAAGTCAAGAAACTGTCTCGTCTCAAGAGGCGGCAGCAAAACCAGGTCCCAGGGCAGACTTCTCCCAGGCAGACACCTCCAGAATGGTCTTGCAGCCTCTTGGGATAGGGGGCTGGTGGTGGGTGACCCCCCTGCTCGCTTCTCCCATGCGCTGTGTGGCCGGGCCTGCTTCCTCCCTGGGGCTCACTTAGCTATGGGTCTGTTGAACCTTCACGTGACTGCGGAGGCGGACGGGGAGGGGAGGGACGGCAGCATCGTGCTGCCCCTGGGTCTCCACCAGCCAGGGCAGGACACCATCTGGAGGCAAGGTGGGTGCGGCAGGACTTGGGCCTAGACTGGGCATCGAGTAACGCCAGCCAACTGCCTAGGCCGGTGCCCATGCTCTGAGCTGGGGCTCCACTGTCAGCCTGGACCCACTGGCCCCGGTGCCCTGAGATGTGGCTGATGGAGCCTGGGACAGCAGCCCCACTCCTGGCTCTGGCATCCCGGGTCTCAGCCACATTGGACTGGGACCCCAGCCTCTGGGCCCCCCCCCCACAGGATGGGCCAGCAGGGTCTGCAGCAGGAAAGAGGAACATCTCCCTAGATGTAGGACACAGAGACCTGGCCTAGGCCCTGGGCCACCGCTCACCAGCTGGGGACACGGGCATGTCTCGGAACCATTCTGTGAGCCCCATGGGCATGGGCCAGCCTATTGGGCTGACACTCGCAGGGGGACATGGATGCCCCTAAAGCCTCTGGTCCATGCTGGCGATTGAGGAGCAGGCAGGGTGGGCTGGCCCAGGAGCCCCTCAGCAGGAGGAGCAGCCCTCTGGGGTCCCCAGGGCTGGGCTCCAGGGACTGGCGGAAGGGCAGGGCTGTGTCCCAGAACCCCAGCCTCCTCTCCTCCCATCTGGCTGCAGAGACGCCAACGCTGTCCTATCTCCTCCCAGCCCTCGGACCCGACTCCAGGGCCAGACACCCCAGATCCTCCTTGCGGCCCACGGCAGAGCATTCCAGGGCCAACGTCAGAGAGAGGGCACTGCTGGTTAGTACCCCATGGCCACAGTGGTGCCCAGACTCCCCAGGGGAGGCCCCTCCCTATTGCCCACAGGCGACTGTGTCCTGAAGCCCAAAGGGGATGCCCCTAGGCTCCACCTGCCCCAGCTCCGCCCTGGGGACCCCAGCCAATAATGGGGGCTTGGGGTAGAGGGAGCAGGGGTGGGGCTCAGGCTGTAGTGCCCCCCGAGCTTGGCAGCCTGGGTCTGGACCCTGGTTTCTGGTTTTCACCAGCCACTCCCTTCTTTGGGGTGGAAAGGGAAGCAGAGAGTGCCTGCTGGTGCCACCTGGGCCAGGGACACATCCGCATGAAGCCACAGACAGGGACTCACCGAGAAGTCTGTGTCTTCCGCCTTCAGGTGGTCTGCAATGTACTGGACGCCCTCCACTGCCTGCGTCAGGGCTGGTGACAGGGGCAGGTGCCGGGGCAGGGCCTTGGTGCTGCAGGCTTTGGGCACGGCGTTCGGGGACGCCACAGATGGTTCCATCTTGCACTCACATGTGCATGGAGGGGGCTGGTCTGGTGGCGCGAGCTCGACCGAGCGGACCTGGGAGACAGGAGAGCCGGCCGTGGGGCCCTCAGCCTGGGAGGTGGCATCATCTTGGGGAACGCAGTACTGGACACTCCGAGACCGGCACCGGACACTGCCCTCCACGGCTTCACCAGGGCTGGACATGTGCTGGACACTCAGGGCCCGGGCTTTGGCCAGCCCTGGGGCCCGGGTACCAGTGGGTGGGCGGCAGGGGCTGGGCAGGAGGCAGGGGCTGGCTTTCCCAGTTTCTGAGGGCTGTAGAGCAGGAACCTGGTCTAGGGGCAGCTTGCAGGCTGGCTGGGGGTTGACAGGCTCGTCCACGGGGCCACAGAAGGACGGGGAGGGCGAGGGGCCCCGGCTCTGGGCCCTGCCCCTGATGCTGGGCTCCCCCTCGGGCTTGGGCCCGAAGCGCGGGGCACTTGCCATCTTGTGCATGGACTCGATGAGCCGCCGGCAGCTGTCTTTGACCACGCATGGCCGTTTCATGAAGAGCAGGCGCGGCACGATGTCCAGGAAGACGCGGCGCACCCAGGCGGGCATGGTGTGCGTGCACGGTGAGCGGTGGT